GAGCGTGTGTGCGCTCTGTTACAGCCTTTGTGAGGTTTTAGAGTTAAGGTTAATGTTAAGTGTAGGTTAGAGGTAGGGTTAAGGCTTGTGTTTGAAGGTTACTGTCAGATATCTGCAGTGTGTCAGCAAGTGGAGTTTAATGAACCTGGAGTGATAAGAAACACACACTCACTCATTTCCTCCCCATTATCTTTACCTCTCTCTCTCCCAGTTTATTTGCTTTGCTTAAGACTGGAACTACGATGTATTCCCCTTTTTGAGCTGCAGTCCTCTTTCTCTGGGTTCATTAGTGTTATGATTGTCGAGCAGTGAAGCATGTGAGGATGAAGATGTCACTATGGGACATGGAAAATGGGATACAATCATTTAACGTTTCTCCTCACATTCACATCCCTTTTAATCCCTTTAAATCTGCTCCGATCTCCTGCTGCTCCTCCTCTGCTCAGACTTCGGAAACTCCTCCGGCTTTACCTGCAGCTCCCTAAATCTCTTCCAATCCCTTTTACCTTCTCTGGAGGAGACTGACAAACAGAACATTCAGGAACAAGCAGGCACTGTGCAGGTTAAAATCACATTTTCCAGTTATTCTTAATCAGTGTCCAATCAGAACACTGGCTGTAAACAAGCTGTTAAATGGGATAGGTGGATAACAAAGAAGAGATTACAGCCTGATTACTGTGGGATTAAACTAAGAGACTTTTCCTTCTCTTTTTCTCGGCCTCATTCCTTGTACTCTTCCCCAGTAACATAGCCTGTGCTTTGTTTCACCCTTAAATAAACTGCAGGCTCACAGAATGCAGCTAGTTAGACAGACTCCCAGTTGTGGAATGTAACAACACATCACGAAGATTAAACCAGAGGTTCCCAAACATTTGGGGTTTTGACCCCTTACAAAGAAGCAATGCCTAGTTGGGGCACTGCCATCTTCCAGAAGTCTGTAAAGCCCCTTTTCCACTGCACAAAATACCTGCTAACACCCAACAACATCTGGCTTTTTTATTGCACTGGGAAAGGTTTTAATCAGCATTCACACCCAGGTCAAATGACTCTGCAGTAGACACGGGTATTTATCATCTCCGGCTCCGGTCAGTATTGATGGGAACACAAAACCCAGGTGAACCTGCTAATTTTAGCTCCTTTACCAGTGAGATGCAATGACGAGCCTTCAAAAATACCATCCATCTCCACCCAAGCAGCACTCAAACATCAGTCCAAATTGGTCTGCACCAAGGTTGATAGAGAGAATAGATACATAAAAGGATGTAACCACCATTAAGTTTTCATAGACCTCCACACTCCTCTCTACTTTTTATCTGTTTTCCAGCTGTCCATGACGTCGAACGTGGAACACCAAAAACACCCACACACAGAAAGGCAGACTTGTCTGCTGCAGAACTGCTCTCGTCTACTTGTAATGGGAAAGGGTTAGGGTCTAAAGCCTATTTTTAGCGGGTGTTTAAAAAACCTGTGTAAAAGCGGTATAAGATGTTAGCAGTTCCTTTCCTTTCCTTTATCATCTTAATACCTCCCAGGATTACCTGATGACCGTTTGGAAGGGCGCGAACCTTGGGATGGGAACCACTGGGGGAAAAAAAAAAGACCTAATAAAGATGTACGAAATAGTTCCACTTCAACCAGCTACAACACATCACATTAAGCATTTTTTTATTAAAGTAAGAATCCAGTTTATAGCATGCTGTAGGGATGACGTTAATCGCAGGGTTTCCACAGATCCCAAAAAAGTCTTAAAAGGTATGAAATTCCTAAATCTACAAAAAAAAAAAAAGACCTTAATTTATATTAAAATGTCTTAAATAAATGTCTTAAAAATACTCAGATGAGAGGCATAGGAATTTAAGAATTGTTTTTGGTTTTGATGTTGTATTTAGAGCTGAAACTGAAAATCATCAGTGCAAATTATCTGCATCAAAGCTTGTTTGATCCATATAACTTTATACAGTGCGTCATATTTCACACACAGATGAGTATTACTGCACTCATGCTGTGGACATGAGAGCTATGCACAAGACCTGAAGAAGACATTTCAAAATCATACACCTATTATCAAAATAGAAGACGTGATTCGATAGTGATGATTGTAAAAAAGTGGAGAAGAGAGAAAATAGTGAGGGGTGAACAGAAGACGGACTGGAGAAAATGACAGGAAGTGACTAAAGCTTGGGATTCAAGCTGAAACAAAATGAAACGCTGTACTGTGCATTTACTGTAAAACCAAACTAGCTTACCACGTTGCAGCACAACACCAATACTTCAGCCTTTCAACAGAAAGCATCCAGTACACGGAGTGGACCCGCCACAAGGTAACAGTAAGGTTAGCCTCCCTTTGGGGCTGTGGCTTTTTTTATTTACTGTATTTATTTTCTTGAGTAAACTGAATAACCAGAGAAAATAAAATGCTGCAGTCAATTTGTAAAAGCCTGAGCTTCATTCATGTTGCTATTAAGATAGTCAAACACACACATCTCCAGTACTTCCCTCACAGCATACATATAATTCCCCAAAAATCAAAACATCCAGTGAGTTAAGTAGCAACTGAAGCTGAATTATTGCTGCAATTTCAGTAGTTAGCATGTTGTTTTTTCTAAAAAGGAAACCTATTAGTTGTTCATTTAAGAAACTTATCATATTTTTTAATATATATTTGCTATTTTGCTTAATAAAAGTAACAACAAAAGTATTTTGTATCCAATTACTGACTTAATCAATGGATTTATCAGTAGGATACTTGATTCCTAAAATAACTGATTGACAACCACCCACCATTCCATGCTTGTACCTTTTATACAGAACAGCGATGTGGCAATAACAGTCCCCACCTTGAAGTGTAAAAGGTTCTCTTGTTTGAAAAGTTACAAAATGATCTATTGTGGTTCACAAGAATGTTTGTACATTTAAAATAATAATGCAGCTAAATGGCAAAAATGTTTCATTCATTCATCTTCTAACCGCTTCATCCTCTTGAGGGTCGCGGGGGGGCTGGAGCCTATCCCAGCTGACATCGGGCGAGAGGCAGGGTACACCCTGGACAGGTCGCCAGACTATCGTAGGCTGACACATAGAGACAAACAACCATTCACACTCACATTCACACCTATGGACAATTTAGAGTTACCAATTAACCTAGTCCCCAATCTGCATGTCTTTGGACTGTGGGAGGAAGCCGGAGTGCCCGGAGAGAACCCACGCTGACACGGGGAGAACATGCAAACTCCGCACAGAAGGGCTCCCACGCCCCGGGATCGAACCGGCAACCCTCTTGCTGTGAGGCGAGAGTGCTAACCACCACACCACAGTGCCGTGTTTCAATAGCCTGTAAATGTTAGCTAACTAGCTCATCTCGCTGTTGTGGATTAGTGCTGCACAGTGATTTCACGTGGGCTAGCTCACATGACTGCACAAGGATTCATGAGTGACAGTTAGCCAATCATTATGTTTTGTACTGTAAATTAAATGGGATTTTTTATGAATAGGCTGACATATCTTTTCTAAAATATATGAATTTATGACAATATTTATTTTCAGACATTTTTATTTTGGTAGAAAAAAAACTTAAAACTTAAAAGTTTGGTCCCCCCCCCCACAGTAACTCTGAGGACTCCATGGGGGTCACAGACCTCCTGTTGAAGACCCAGGATTTAAGGCTTATTTATTTTCACTTTAATTTTGCCAGTTAAATTTAGAGCTGTGAGCTGTAGCAGCTGGCAGGTAGACAGACTGCAGAGCAACAGCTGATGTGTTTGTTTAAGATAAGAGAGCAGCTGATAATCAATACCAACCTCATCAATAAACCCTGGAGATAAGACACACTGAAAATACCTACAGATAACAGAAAGAGTGAGAGGCAGAGATGTTTAAGGAAAGAAAGATTCTGTTGGGAAAATAAAAAATATTTTTTAATATTTACTTTGAAACATATTTGCAGATGAAAGCATGGTGGGGTGTGGATGAGGGCTGTTCATATAAAAAAGTTGACTTTCCGTTTCACTTCCACTGTCACATTTGTTTTAATGATGTCAATATGTTTTTGCAGAGACAAATCTCACAACACAAACCCAAAACTCTTGCAACAGAATTTCATAGACACATATTCAATATATGCTTGTATTCCAAGGACAAAATGTCACATCAGCTCACAGTTTGTGCAAACAGACAGAAGACACTGTCTTCTTTACAAAGAAAAAAAATCACATTAAGCTACAGAGCCTAACATGACAAAAAAACATACTCTCATAAAAATCTTATGTACAGCTTCCTTCACATACACTTTGTTATTTGAGACACTACAGACATACAGACAACCTTAAACTGGAAGGAAAAGTTTTAAGAATCAAAGACTCTTTGTTTCGTTTGTGGTTCAGTCGCAGTTTCTTTCACTGTCAAACTGCTGACTCACTTCAGAGGTTTTAAAAGAGCCTTGGCATGAATGTATATGAAAAGCTGTTGAGCTATAAATCTGTTGTAAACACTGGATTCAGTATTGAATCCTAAAATGTTCAAATCTGAAGTGATGTCTGGGGGAAACTGGAATTAGTTCAGATGCATCAGCTGATGGTTTTCCCTGTTTGGCGAAACTGATCAGTCAACTTCACTGAATTCTTGAACATGTTAAAGTTGATCCAGTGGTATGTTCGAGTCTATTCAACCTTCAGTCCTCATTAAGATCCCTGAACATTTCACAGGGTCATCATTCGTAAGGTGTTGGGAGCTGGAACAGCACAGTTTAGTGCAGCAGAAGTACCGTACATCCCCATCAACAATCACAGTCTAACTGCAGAGGTTAAATCCACACAATCTGTTTTTAGAATCTCTCTTCACTCATGAAGGAACAACCCTGATTTCCAGTTTAAATAATCTTTCACTCCTCCACTACAGTAGCATTTGGACAATATTTTAAAAAAGCTTAAAAATCTCTAATGGGTTGGGAGACAGATCAGAGTCCTGAAGAAGCAGCTTGAGAAATCTTGCATAGTCCACAGCTCAGTGTTTCACATAAATCCTCCCATTTGTGTCCAGCAGCCATTTAAAAATATGGATATTTATATCAGAGGAGGAGAAGCAGGGGAAGAAGCAGCATCACATACAGGAAGCAGCTGGTCCGAACTGTCCTGACAGCTGATGAGCGATACCAGCGCACCTCCTCTGAGTCATCTGGGAAGTAGAGAAAGACAAAAAAATAATCATTATTAATGTAAGTTCCTAATTTAAACACTTTTTTCCTGGTATTTAATACCTTTTATGGTTGTTTTTCAATGCTCCACCTAGTGTTTAGTAGATACACACATGTATATAGCATTAATGGTTTTTAAGGTTATTAATATTAAACCCAAAAACCGGCTATGTAATGTGCATGCTGCAGTTGCTTTTTGTCTTCTTCTTTGCCTTTTTTGGCAGCTCACAAGCCAACTTTAAATGTGTACTGCCACCTACTGCATCAGGTGTGTAGATGCTGCCAAGATAAGTCAATTAAAGCAGTCTGGCTTCTTTTTATTGACTATAATTTCATTATCAGAATAATACATGATTATATAAATTTCCCTTTATTGGCTGATCATTTATCTGCCTGATATATATCGTGCATCCCTAAAAAAAAAATGTACAACGCTATCAATCTAGCAAATACATTCTGATAAAGTAATCTAACTTAAAAAGAGATCAAATGTCAATTGTTATTACTCATGAACTGACCCTACTTACAATCACATTACTTGACAGAATCCTGGTCCTTAATAATACATAATCTTGTATTTGCTCAGACAGCTTAATGTGAAAGTAATGGGCTGATATTGTGGGATGTTTGTGTTGGAGCTGTCAGGTGTGAGGGTGTTTCGCATTAAAAGCACTGAACTGTAAATGAGCAGACGGGGCGTGTGGTCATTCAGAGTGTGTTTACACTCAGTGGGAGTTTACTTTGAATGCCTGGCACGTTATTTTGTTTGAGATGAGAAGTGTGAACGACACAGTTTTGAAACAGACGGTCTGACTGTTGGGCGTCGTCTACACCCCTGGTCTTTATTCAGCTAAAGAACACAACAGCTGGTGAGCGGACTGCGTGGAGAACTACCAACTCAGAACACATACTCTGACATGGTCTGTGGACGCATGAATGCATCACGAGGATGAGTTTTAAAAGGCAGAATCTGTTCTCATGTTTCAAGTCTCTGCTGTTTTATTTTCATAGAAACAAACTGAAACCAAAGGTTGCATGAAAGAGAAGCAAAATCAACCTAAGAACCTGATGAATGACTTTGGCAACTGCAGAAAATGCAGATGTAACATGTCTGGTGTGTGTCTCTTACCGCAGTCTTTGTGGAAGACGTGGGGGAAGCAGTGCAGGACACCATAACCACAGCGACAGTAGGAGCATCCTTTCTGAACCCACTCACCATGAGGAATCCTACCACAGCTCCTACAGACACACACAAGAAATGTGAATAACTTAACTAAGGAAACAATAACTAGTTGCTAGCATACAATACAGTAACTCCAGATTTAGAGTGCTTTTTTCTTGTCGTTACCTGATGCGTTGGTCGTACTCGCAGCTCCTCCCTGTGAAGAAAGGAGGGCAGGCGCAGAAGCTGCCCAGGATACATGTCCCTCCGTTCTTACAGCAGCTACGACTCTGCTCAGCACCTGTGGGGAAAAAAGACAGATGTTAGATTAACCACCAGCAAACTATGTCTATTTCTTTCAAATAACTACTTAACTATTCTTGGACGAGAACCTAAAACATGAAAGATCCTCTGCCTCTTTTAACTCCAGCCTGCAGTTTTAAATCGACATGTTGTCTTTTGCAAACTCAAATGGAAGCTTCCATATTTCAGACATGAGTTTTGGAGAATACAATCAACCAATCACGGTGAGGTCAAAGGTCACACAAGGCTATGTAAGGGTCTCTCAGCTCTGTAATAACTTTAAATTGTATTATTATTTTATTTTTACTTTTTACCCTCCTCTTCTCCCAGTATAACCTACTGTTGTGTCTTTTTTAATTATTCAAATTTTTTTTATTTTGGTTTGACTCTTGAAAAGCATCTTGTAACATTGTTTTGAAAACCACAGAGTAAATTAAATATTTAACTTGTAGACCAGGGGCTCTGAATGTGTCTGTGAAACCAGCTGAGGGCCACTAAAGGGCCCTCGTACCTCAGGTTGAGCCTCTCCCTGCCTGTATCTGTATCTGTGAGATAAACCAGAGTCTCCATCTGGCAGCGCATTCCTGTCCTCTGCTTCACATCAGCAGACAAACACTGAGAGTCACAACAAACATCTGAAAACAACAGAAAAACACTAAAAACTAACTGACGACGGCCTCTTTGTCCATCTGTCACAACTTTGTCTTTTAGGACTTTTGTTCTCAGAGACTGAAAATTGCAAGTTAACAATTACTAAGACTTTACATCATCATTTAATTTAATTTCAAACTTTTCTTTAGTTTGAAAAAACATATTTGCTTTTTTTTAAAAAAATCAGTTGTTTAATTTATTGTTTGTTACTTTTTCGGTTTTGGGTTATGTATGCTTAATTTCTTTATTTAATTTTTTATTTTTTATTCATTTTTTTTTTTTTTTAAATTTGAACTACTTTATGTTAAGTTTTAGGGTCCACAGTAGATCAACTTCTTATGAAGTATCTTTCTAAATTTGAGTTTCATTTTCTAGGTTAATTCTCGCATATCTTACACAGACCAGGTTTACGATTTTACAAACACTGGGGTCATGAGTCCAAATATCCCCTATAGCTCCAAACAGTTATGAGTAGAACTGAAAATTATGTAGAAATATCTATTCATTTTTACAGTTTTTCTCTGGCATTCATTTGTGTCCTTTAGTAAAGTTCCCCAGTGATTTAAAAACTGCTTTATGTCCCTGAGTTATGTCCCAGTGTTTTCTTCTCTGCCAGGAGAGAATTCTAAGGTATTTTTTTCTAATTTGTTGTTTTTACTCATGTATGTATTTTTGCTTTCCTTTTTTTTAATTGACAAAAACATATCAAATTTAAAAAATGTTACAACAGATATTGTATTCTCCTTTTAGGAAAACTCACTTACATCAACATACACACTGTCTTCCCACCTTTCTTAAAACAAGATAATTACTGTTTATAATGTTCTTTACAGAATTTGGGCATGTCGGCAGACAAATGACTATGTTCCTTTTTATTTTTTTGCAGTACAAGCTGTCTCTATCTGTGGTAGATTTTTCTTTGCTGGATATTGGAGCTTTCTGCCTCCATCTGTGCATACAGAGGTGAAGTGTGAACTTACTGCCTGTGAGGCCAATGAAGGGCAGGACGGCGCTGGCGTCGCGGTGCTTACGGTCCCCGCTGTTTGGCGAATTCACCTGGGTAAACTGGTCCAGGAAGTCCTGGGAGGGCTGCTGGGATTTCACCACCACAGGAGAAGATTCAGGGGGAGATAAAGAAGAGGAAGAGTGGGATGGACTGGAGGTCTGGTCTCTGCTGCAATCTTCTCCCTTACAGCCTGAAAAATAAAAAGGTGACAGTCAGATTTTATCCACAAAACCCTCATTGTGTGAGGAATGGATCAATGTCTGCTGCTTCCTCTCTTTTACTCGAAAGAGGCTCGCCAAAGGATCCACCCCAGCCCACTAGATGACTAGACTAAGAGGTGCCAGGGTTCAGGAACATCTTAAACAGTACTTTGCCTACTTCATGTAAAATTCAGCTTCAGGACTTTTCCATCCTGACCAGAATACAGTTCTCTGATATAGCAATGAATACTTATTGTGACCATCTTTAAAGGCTTTGAACATTGTGCAAAATATTGTCAATCAGCAGCTTCACTTCAAAAGAATCTGTATCACACTGTATCTGGGAATGTATGGATAAATGCACATGTAGTGACAGTGACAAGCAGATTGGCTGAGTGTGGAAATACTGAGACCTACTGTTGAAATTGCTCTTATTTTCCTTAAGACATCTCAGGCTCTTCATCTGTTTTGTAAAAGGATGAACGTCTACAGGATGTATTTGTAATTCTTTACACAAAAAGGGAAACCTTTGGAGCTGATGGTATTTACAGGTTATTGTGCAATGGTTTTATTGGTCCAGCCGATCTGAGATAAAATTGGGCTGTATGTGGCCATGAACTAAGATGAATTTGGCACCCCTGGTCTATATTTATGCCCCTGGTGTGGGGTGTAAAATAATGAGCATACATTTGCTTGTGCAATCCATCCACATCATTTGGGATGGGATTAAAAAAGGGTCCAAAAACCTAAAAAGCCTTGCAGCCTGCATTTAAAAAAACAGTAAGAGACGTTGGTATGATCCTTTAAAATCAGTTTTTGCATATATTTTTGCTGTCTGTTTCAATAGGCTCTACTGTCAGAAAAAAAACTTAAATTGTTTTTCATATATAAAATGAACCCTCACTAACACAGGAGTGAATATGATGGATGTGTTGCACTGACCTGCAGCAGGCAGAGCAGCAGCATAGTGGAGACAGCTCACTGCACACAGCACAATCCTGCAAACATCCACATAAAAAAAAACTTTATCAACAGGAAGACTTCACATTTAAAAACGAACAAGATGTTCGTTCGTAAAATATTCACACAAGTTTCATTTGGTCTCACCTGAGCAGCTGTGTCCACCTCATTTTACTGGAGACTGGAATATATCCACAACACTACAATTGGGTTTGTTGCGGGTTTGTGTTACCTCAAACACAACTCTGTCCTGGATAAGTTCACATATCAGGAAAATATCCGAAACAATAAAAACAGAGATTCGTCTGAGTCAGAATAAAGTAAAAGTGTCCATAAATAAAGTTCCAGTCCGGAGTGACTTCACGTCTTTATTCCGCCAACGACATTTAACAGACGAAAAAAAAAAGCTCCAGTTAGAAAAATGCAAACTCCGCTTAGTTAAAGAGAAACAGGAATCATCTACACCAGTGCGAAGATCCTCTGTGTGTGGTGAGCCTCCTCTGCAGCCTTCTTTCTGCTCTCAGGTGATTCTCATACAGCGGACCCCGGAAGCCCCGCCCACTCCCGATGGCTCTCTGTTTCCGTCTGTCTGACGTGTTCAGGTGGAATCAACAATAACGGAAACTCACCTAAAAACTGCAAAGTTTAAATAATGTTTTAATTACCAAGCCAATTACAGCTAGTGTCATTAATAATATATAGTCCCTTTCCAATAAACATGTGTGTCAACTACTTCTGTTAGCAAGGAAACTGAATGAATATTTAATTTTATTGTTTTCTTTTTGTTTTTGTTGTTGTTTTTTAAGATGAACGTTCGTTATAGTTTTCAAATTTCATTTACTTCCCAGGCAAAAGAAATAATTATCTGAAAAATGAAGTAGTTTCAGCCAGTCCACAACAACAACAACAACAACAACAACAACACACACAAACATTTATGTTACTGTGAATTTTGTATGTTTTAACTGTGGTGTTGCTTGGCTGTAACTTCTTTATATACTGCTGTCTTGGCCAGGTCTCCCTTGAAAAGAGATTGTTGCTCTCAACAGGACTTACCTGGTTAAAAATGGGTTAAATAAAAAATAAGATAAGTAAAAAACAAAAACAAAAAAAGTTTTTACATTTTATTTTATTTTATTTTATTTTATCTTTAAGATAAACTAAATTAAAATAAATAAATAAATACAAGAATGACCATATCTGGAGAGAGTTTTCAATGGACACTAGACCCAGTCTTCAGTTTGATTTTACTGTCAGAAAAGTATTTCTCACCCGCTCAGTACAAGACTGAAAGTGAAGCGACATTTATAAAAACAAGAAAAAAAACCTTTTTGGTTGGCTGATGGGTAATGTTTAGAAGGAACTGAATAAGAGGCTCTGTTGTATTGTTCTCATTTGAGAGACGTCACATTTCATGCTCTGTGACTTATGAGTAAATATGGACTTTGCTTCAGCTGTTTCTCCTCTCCCTGTTTTTCTCACCTTGCACCTCCCTCCCCCCCTCTCTCACTGTCCCCCATCTCTCTCTCTCTGCATACACATGTATAGTAACCTCACTTGCCCCTTCACATGGTAATGACCCTGCTGTTGAAAGAGGATCCACCTTTGAGGAGTGGTTCCTCCTTCTCAACTGCAGATAACAACAACTTTAGTTTATTATTTTTCATTTTCCCACTACACTAAATGCCACATATCTTTTACACTGTATGACTAATAACATGACAGACATTTCTTTGCATGTCCCTCACACCCTTCCTTACTTCCCTCTCCTGTTACAACCAATAGCTACAATACTGTTAAAAACTTAAACATGGTGTTTCATAGGCCAATTACTTCATTTCTAACCCTAACCCTATTTTAATTTAACTAAATTAACACACCAATAAATCAATGAAGGATTCAGTTCTTTTTCAGCAGAATTTTGTTCCTTGTAGCACAGACAGAGAATTGCTGAAAAAAAGATGCTTCATTTTGTGGGTCTTCATTTTGGAATAATTTCCCATGAGCTTTTATTGAATTTAATCTGACATTAAACTTTATTATTAACACGTAAGCGCCATACTGAAAATAATACATGAGAAGTAGACCTATATCAGTACAGAAGCCACAGCACATACAGATACTTCTGTCTTTGCATGCATTTATTAAGGGCCAGACCCTTACCAGGTTGTGGGTTTTCTATCTTGGAGAAAAATTATATGAGCATTGCCTGGCAACATCCGTTTTAATGGAGAGAGGGGAGGACATATTTTAATCCATAACATTGTCAGGGATTTTTTTCAATCTGTTCTGCTTATGAATAATGAATTACTACTTTCATGTGCTTTTTATGAGTATCCTACATGTATGTCTTCTTCCTTTCTTACACTTGTTTGTCACAGTTTTATTTTTTCTAAAAAGTTATTCACCATTTATCACAAAAAAGTCAGTAAATGTGAAGGAGAGTATAGAACAACAGGTTCCTCAGAAAGGATAAGCAAAAATGAGCTTTTCCCCGCCATTATTTAAGATAAAATTCCTTTTAAAAATCTGGCTCCTTTAACATTGTTATTTTTTTGTGTAAAAGCAGGAGAGACCCCCTCCCCCTCCATTCAGCTCTGGTTAATCTGCCCCCACTTTGACCACAGAGGCACAATCAGAGGTGGAAATGGGTATTTTGTGATCTGTGCAGCATCACAATGCAGTCTGATCTCATGCTAATGCACAGCAGGAGAGTCAGCAGCAGGAGGGAAACCTGATCTGAACACAACAGGAAATCTGCATGTGAAAGCTGTCAGACTGCTGCAGGACACAGAGGGGAAGAGGAAGACACAGATCTATGAAAGAAAGCACAACTTTATCTTCATATGATGATGCAAAGAGACACGCTGAGAGTCTCCCTCCTGCCTGCTGGTGGTCACAGCCCCTAAAGCTCTGAGTGTCACATCAGTTTTTCTTTATCGAAACAGCTCTTTTGGCAGTTTTTTCCACATTGCCAGGGCCCTGATGTAGATCATATACCCCAAAACTGGCTGTAAACAAACATCTTCTAAGGCCCACAGATTTTACCCTAACAAGAGTAGTTGAACAGCAAATACAGATTAGTCACACTGATTACAGCACTTGAACATCTCAGATATAAATCTTTAACTGACTGAAGATGTAAAAATAAATAAAATCGAATTGTTTCAGAGAAGTGTCATATGATGGCCAAACAAGGATGAATTCTAATATATAAAAAATATGTGTCATTTCCGATAATGCTGAAATACAAAGAAATACACATTAAAGTCTTGAATGAAAGATCCCTTCAAAAAAATATTGGACTCAGATTTAAGTTAGATTAGAATAAAAGCCATTTTCCAGAGTCTGATATGGGAATGTCTTCATATCTTACTTAACAGCTGCAAATTGATTGAGAATGTACAGTGAAGGGGGGCAGTGCTGGATCTTCCTACAGGGGACATAAGGGGCCACCGCAGCACCCAGGGGGAGGGTTGACATTATGAAAATCAAACATAAAGGAAAGAAGATCCAAAGATCTAATGCTAACGGTAGTGCTGCAGTAACGGTAGGCTACCACCACCTGTAGTCATGGCAATGCAGTTCGTCTTAGGGCATGAGTCCACATAAGACAAGACACTTTTTTTTTTTACAGCAGAAAAGTGGTGGCAAGTTGCTGGGGATTACTTTATCCCAGCAATTCATGAAAAAGCACTCCCTGGATTTTTGATTGTAATGATGTGCTCGGTTTTGTTTCTGTGACAACAACATCTTGACACTAATGTTAGCTTGGTAGCTAAAGTAACACTACATTTACAGAGAGCTGAATACACAGTTAACAACAAACTTACAAGGCATACCCACCAGCAACATGCAGTGCACTGCCGATTTGCTCCCATGCTTTTCTGTCATTGTTAGGTAAGCAGCAGTAAATCAGCAATGACATCACCAGTGCCTTTCTAAAAAGTTCAGAGATTTTCAACTAGAAGCACTGGGAGAGCAAGAAAAGGTGGGTGCAGTGCTTTTGCTCTAGGCAGCTGCATGTGGATGGGAACAACTGGAAAAACACACCAGCTCTCAGAAAAAAAATACAGTGGACGCACATGGGGCAATTGACCATTGTCACTGTATGTCCATTAAACTTTTTTACACAGACAGGTTTATTGTCATTATAGGTGTCTGAAGTGTCTCTTTACCTTTCACTTGATGAGGTCGGTTTGTTATCACCTCTTTAAGCAAAGATCCCATTCTGAAATATCATGAGATGTCAGTTGTTGCAGGAAGACAATGGTGGAAACGTGTATGAGATCTGGAGAAAGTATAGTATTCAAAGTAGTTTACAGAAAATGTAGTTTAGTATTATCTAAAAGATTTTTCAACATCATCAATACATATTTACCAGAGTTCAACAATGCAGATGAAGCCATTGAATTCTATAGCCCATTGTGCGGCCGCCTGCTGCTGCCCTCTTGCTAAATAGTAGATCAATTTCAAAAGTTATAGCTCACACCAGTTTCTTTGACCACTGTACACAGAAAAATCGGGTCTAGGTTGAAAAGTGCCAAAGTTATCCTTTAAGGGCCTGTGTCAACATATCATTTTTTTTCTCAGTGCCAGCATCCAAATGCAGCCACCTATAGCAAAAACGCTACACCCAGAATCTTTGTTTTCAGAGCACTCTGGCTTATTTTTGTGGTCGCTCCAAGCGCTTCTAGTTGAAAATCTCTGAAGTTTTAATTGACCAATGTACACCAGAAAATAGGGTCCAGGTTGAAAAATACCAGTTTTTTTGTTTTATGTCGATCAGTGAGTGACCATCACAGTCACAACATGCTAGAGTATTGATGAGTGTGGTGTAGGGGAGTGTATGTTGAGAGCATTAGAGAAAATGAAAAAATCTAAAGCCATCCAGGGGGGATTACAAAATAAATAAAGATGAGATTCACAAATTTGCACATACCATATTCTTTTGTTAGTATTTTTAGTGTTTGTTATTTGTGTCAGTTTCTCTTATTCTTGTTGTAGCTCTTAGTCTTGTTTGTAATAAATGCATAGGCTCAGATAGTAATGTATTTTGGGGGGGGGGGGGGGGGGGGGGGGGGGGGGGGGGGGGGGCTTGTCTAGGGCGTGGAAGGTGCTATGTCTGGCACTGGTAGTGGGACTTTATTTTTTATTACATATTTTATATTGTGTGTGTGTGAAAGATAATATAAGAATTTACAGTTTGAATTCAACTTTTACATCTTCCTGTTAGACTGAATGCTCTACCTAAATGTAATTTAAAGGTTTAGCAAAAAAAAGCTTTATATTACAGTAACTGCAGTTTCACTCTATTTTTGTATAAACTCTTGGATCAAAGTGATTAAAAACAACAATGAATTTATCTCGCTACAAATAATGTCTGTGTAGTTAAAGTGTGATGTCACTTTATGTGTTGCATCTGCACAACTACACTGTCACACATGATAGTCACTGGAGAGAAAATCTCCAGAAAGCTGCAGGCTGA